CCGCGGTAGTTGGCTCGTATGGGGGAGTCGCCTTTATTGTGGATTTGGCGGAGCAGACTTAAATTCATGATGCATGCACCTTATCAACTCCTCACTGTCGTACTTGAATAGTTCGGCAGGCAGGATGTGAGCTCCAGCAGCTTTCAGTTTTTCGGGGAGTTTTCCTGTCGGCAAGCATTTCAGGATCTTCACACGGAAAATACGGCTCGCTTCCCTCTTCAGTTCTCTGTAACGGATCGCATCGTGGCCCTGTAGGCGGCATCTTTTTTCTCCGCAAATTCTTGACACTCCTCATCGTACCAGTTGTTCTTTCTTGTCTTTTTTGGCGCTGTAACCGCCTAAGTGTTTGTTGTTCTTTCGGGCTGGCTGAAATCCCACTAATTCTTCGGCGGCGGTACTTAATGAGCGGGGAATGTGGATCCACTGGTGGCGTATTTCGGTTTGTCGAATAGTGCTCTCAGAGAGGCGGGCCAGATTCGAGTGGCGAATATGTTTGCCGTCTGTTGTGATTACAGTCTTTCGACTTTAAGGTTAAATTAGTGGTGACATAATCACAACCATACAAAACAGCTCTCCAACCAACCTTATGTCGAACACTGTATTCGATTAGTGGTGCCACACTGTAACGTCATAGCCAAAACCATAGACCACAGAATTTTAGTTTTGTCCCATAACCATAATCAGCTGATATCTGAAGTGCGAGTAATAACGTCTTTCCAGACGTTCAAAAATATATATGGTTCACAGCCAACGGTATGTCATAAGTCGCGAATAAATATTAACCATATTTCAACTCACCTAGTCTTTTGAAAGACTAAAGTCTTTCGTAAGAAAAAGTGTCGATTCTGGCAACTATCTTGAAAGCTCCTTTATGTCTTTCGAAAAACTAATTGAAAGGTCTGCTAACGAGGAAGTCCTAGCGTTATTCTGTTTGTCTTTTACCACTAAGTTTTCTAAAATTAAATTTAATAAAAAATATAAATATATTTCTCTTTAAGAAAATATAAACTAAAAATTGTGTGAAAATTAAATAAAAAAATTAATCAGATTACATAGAAAAAATTGCAAATGAAGAAGTTGGAAAAACTAAATTAAATAGAAAAAATGCTATTCTTTTTAAAACAATAAAATATAAAAATAAAACAAATTTTAAAAATAAAGAAGGTTACAATATTGTTAAAAAAGGTTAAATTAAAAAAAAATGTTCGTAAAACTTAAATTGAATAAAAAAATGCTTTTAAGAGAAAGTTAAAATGACAAAAGAAATAATTAATTTAAATTTAAAAAAACACAAAAAATTAACTTATAAGAATTTAATGAAACCAAATTTTATTTTTCTAAACAAAAATTCACTTCAAATGGAAAAATAAAAATAACAAGTAATTTTTAGCAAAAAAATCTACTTCAACTCTCATATAAAAAAATATATACATATATATATATATATATCATGAACCACTGATCGGATCTTAACCAGATTAGTACGGGACCACCTCTGAGACACTACCTTATCGAAATCGGTTGACGTGGTCCAAAGTTATGCGGTAACATACTTAAAAAAAAAAAAAAAATATTCCGACGAACTGATAACCGCTTCCTTTTTTGGAAGTCGGTTAAAAATATAAAGCGTACGTACTAAAATAAGTTTCTAAAAATTCAATTTAAGTAGTAAAATATATATTTACCTTCTTAAAACAATAAAATTTAGTAATGACAAAGAATTGAAACTCTATTTAAATTAAACAAAAAAAATCCACTGCCCGAGGATTTGAACCTCGGATATCTCGAATAACATGACAATACTTTGCTCACTCGGTCATTGCGACTTTTGAAGCAGCGCGTGCAAAATGTGCATATGCATGGGAATTAGGGTGGTCCAAAAATGCATGTGAAAAAGTAAAGTCGGAATTTTTATGCTCTCGCACCCTATACCGAAAAAATATATTAAAATCAAAAAATATTTAGAGATCCCTGAAAGCGCTCAAAGTTTTCCATGCGTTTTATATGGGGAAAAAACAACTTTTCGTAGAAATTGTGTAGAATCCTTAAAAATCAATATCAAATCGATCGGAAAACTATGCTTATCTGCAGAAGATTCCCACTAATAATACCCAATTATTTATTTTACCATTTTTTCATAGTAACTATATTTCATAGGTCCGCCAAAACCCCTAGAAAATGCCAGAATGTGCAATTGGGGGATAAATAAAAAATCATTAGTATTAAAAAATTGTTAAATAAACAATTGGGTATGTTTATTGGAAGTATCCTGAAGTGAACCAGAGTACTCCGATCGAAAAATATTGATTTTCAAGAACTCTATACCATTTCTACGAAAGTTGTTTTTTCCATATGAAATACATCGAAAACTTTGAGCGCTTTGAGCGACCTCTAAATATTTGTTTGATTTGAAAGTAAAAATTTAGGGCTATATCTTTTTCGGTATAGAACAATCATAGGGGTGAGAGCATTCAAATTCTGACTTTACTTATTTTTGACCATCCTAATGTTCATACATATTCATCTCCATTTAACATGCGCAAGAGATGTCTGTCAAAAGAGCATTTCACCAGGAAAGTTGGCATGGGGCCTTTTTATTGCAAGACTTTCGTGGCAGAATAAACAAAATCTTTCAAAATTTGTCTTACAAAAGACTTGCAATCACCTATAAGTGTAGCACTAGAAGTCAGGAAAGGTACACCTACCCTCTGCTTACTGGGCTACATCACCATTTTAGCAAATGCATTTGAAACCGAGATATATTTTAAGCCTTACACGACGAATTTCAATCGCGTCGAGCGTGAGCCCATACTCTGTCTGCCGTTTGTCTAAAGGAATATATCGATATTTATCTTACTTACATACAACTAAATACAAAGATCCGAATGCATTCATATATATTTACATACATTGTTTTCTACATTTCAGTGTCGGCCGTGAGAACTATGGCATGCGCGAGAATTCCGAAATGGTCGTTTCTGATGTGTGTCTAAAAGGTAACAAGCTTAAATTTAATTACTTCAGTTTATCTGAACTAAAACTTTTTCCTTTACTCGAAAACGTGCATAGGTGAAAAGAAACGCCATCATCACCACCATCACAAGAGCAGCACACGCAATGGCGAATATCGAGATCAATCAGCTGGCAGACGAGAACATCACAGACACAGCGGCGGACATTATTGACCAACCATGGTGATAACCATAAATGTGGAGCAATAAGCCAATGCAAGCATATGTTAACATACTTATATATCTAGCTACAAAGAAGCGAAGCAGAAAACAACAAAAAAAAAAACTACATCTTTTCTTAAACAGAAGGAACAACGAACAGCGTTATTTTGATTATAAGTTATTGCGAGTAAATTTATTGTTAATATACCGTTTTGTTGTGTGCAATTTAAACTAAGTAATTTTAGTGCAAATACAAAAAAAAAATATAATAATAATTGCGCTAATTTATATTAGTAACATAAAAGTATGTAAAGCAAAACAAGCAGTCAGTCAGTAGGTTACCCCCCTCCAATGTCTCGTCAAAAGTTAGAAGCTTACATTATTCATATTCGTAATGGCGCAGCGTATTGCAGTTGAAACATAGCAGAATAACTGTATTTTTTAGTTGAAGTAGAGCTTTTATTTATAGCTAGTTCTTTTATTTTTCATTTTCTTTTAAAATATTTAGTTCAAGTTTAATTAGTTTTAATCGGTGCACAAAATGGGAAACAAGCAAATGCGAACAAAGTGAAATTTCCACGCGTCTTCGTCAACAGTATTTCCTCGCTCCTCATACGTGCTGATTCAATCTATGAACTGTTTGTTTCCTTTTTATGCAGCAATTTCTTTTTTGCAATATTTATTTTCTACAAATTATGAGTACCTTGGTAGAGCTTAATATTCGTACGTTTAGGCTAAATCGATTTATTCATAGTACTCAAACAACAAAAAAAAACAAAAACAAACAAAGAATTTATAACTTTCTTACATCGAAAATGTTTATATCCCCATCTGAATTTACTATTTATTGACATGTATCCCAGCAAACTTCAAGCACACACCATGCATTTAGTTGTTAGCGAAATAGTTATTTTATAATTTTAAATATACATACATACATAAACATATATATATTTATTTGTTAATTAGTGTGCCATTTCCGGCAACTTACACATTAATTATAAAGCGCTATACTTATAAAAATATGCCTACTTTTATATGCATACATACACAATCGTAGATGGTAATGTACTCAATTTGCAAAACGAAACTGCATTTGTATACATACGTATGTATCCACTCACATACTTACAAATATCCTTTGTATACAAGTAAGTTTATTATGAGAATGCATTTGTCAATAGTAATTCTATTTTTCTTTTTGTTTTATGTAAAAAAAAATAATAATCTGTATGTAAGGCGTAAAATTTAAATATCCAAATTTATGTAAATAGTTTAATAATAAATTATACAAAATAAATATGTAAAAGGTACAATCTTTTTATTCAAAACTAGCTTGTTTCGCTTGCGGCCCCGCCCACCTGGTATACGGTTTAATGATATGCCATCAAATTTTACAGCTACACCTCAGTGTGTTATACCTAGCGCTCGTACATTTTTACGAAAAATTTTCAAGGTGAAAATGTCTACAAAATCCTTTTGAATTTTTAAATCTTTTTTTGCTGCCGGCTCACAGTGTTTCGACTATATGGAGGCAGGGGGAAAAGTCATGACGAAGCCGAATATTTACATATAGTTTTTCCACCTTTCCGAAAACTACCGTTACATGTTAATCAGGCGTGGTTTTACCTTTATTTCAAACATCTTGGATAGTATGTTCAGTTAGACTTAATGAAATAAAGTTATATAGTTATAAGTGGGCGCTACCACGCCCATTTTCGGAAATTCCACAATAATCTTATTTATTTTCAAGAGATTGTTGTGAGTATCAATTTTGAGTAAATTAGCGTCCTCAAATTTCGAAATATGAAGGTTTCCGCATTTCTGAAATTTACCGTTATATGAAAAGTAGGTGCAATTTAAGTTCGATTTCAAAAATTTGCAACGTTTTGCTTTTATGTGCCACATCCAAATTCATGGAACGGCTACCGAGACACACATATTTGGACATAAGTAGGCAGTGCCACGCCCATTTTCCAATTTTTTTTTTATTTCTTGCTAAAATCTTACTTCAAAAATCAATTTTAAATAAACTCGCTTCAGTATTTACTGTTTTATCGAAGATTTCTTATTTCTCTAAATTACCGTTGTATGGGATGTGGATGTGGTGCAATTTTAACAATTTTTCCCGTTTGGTATGTTTTTACACGACCGACAATTGTGGCCAGTTTAGAAGAAATTGGTGAAGAGGTTACCGAGGTATACATATCTAATCATAAGTGGGCGGGCTACGCCCATTTTCCTAAAATGTTTAATGTTTATTTTTATTTTCCGCCTAAATATCAGTGCAAATATTAAGTTTGAGTAAATAAGCTTCAGCACTGGAATTCTGACAATCTCCACGCAAAATTTTCGTCACCTAAATTTTCTAAATAAAAAGCAGTGGGGCATTAAAGTATACAGCAAGGAAAAGTAGCCGACACAATGTGTAATCAGCCAAATCCGGCAGTATAAGGGGCATGTAACTAGATATTGCATGTTTTTAGGCGCGCCTAATATTCTGCTGGAGATTTTTAGCGATCAAAATTAGCGATAGCGAATGTTGGAATCCGGCTGCAGTAGTTGCTAATCGCAGTTTTCGTTTTTATGAAAACTACCTCTCACAGACGTGGATATAGTCCGATATCGCCCTTTTTAAATACCATCCACGTTAAGATATCTCAATTTTTACTCGAGCTATCGTCTGCACAGACGGACGGGCAGATAGTCGCTATTTCGGAATAAAGCTTTCCTAACTTGACTCGTTTGATATTCACATTTCAATAAAATGTTTGTCTATTAAATTGATTTTAGCTCTTAGAGCAGATAGCAATCTTCTTCAAGAATATTTTCAAAATAAATCGTTGTTTAACTCTTTTCATTTGAGGCGCACATTATTGTGATATATCTTTTGATTTATTCATTTATTCAATAAGGTGGTAACCCTCTTGAAGAAATATGGTTTATGTTATGATTGTAGCCTGCCTGTATACCGAGTTTATTTGAAATACGTTTATCCGTTTTAGCGTAAAAGTGCAACAAACGTACTCAAACACTCACTCATTCACTTACTCGCAAACTTTCACCTGTACATATACTCGTAAAATTAGCAGAAAAACATTAAGTAGCATAAAAAAAACAGCAATCGAAACCGCCGTCTGGCATTATTTCACGGAGGAAGTTTATGCACCACTACACCTATGCAAACTACACCAACTACAACTCAGCTGCGCATGAGCATAACGTCGTTGATGCTGCAAAACGTTCTATGTCTATTAGTACCCTTGACACTTATGTAGATGGTCTCTTACTTGCACCGGAATGCATCTGCAAATCATTACACCTTAATATAAACGAACGACAAAACTACCTACCTTTGGCTGATGAAGACGAACGATTGCCAGAAGCGATCAGATTCAGATAAAAGGTCAATTAACCACCAAAGGTAATAAGTGGCATAGAACGTTTTGCAGTATCACCGACGATAAGGAGATATTATGCAGCCTTTATGCAATTCTCCTCAAATATCTTCTCGCTAAACTTATGGAAGCATTCCCAAATGTGGTCACTACTCACCCAGCTTGAAGCATAAGCTCCACCCCCGGAGTAGTCTTGCACTCGGTAGAAAGCTACAGTTTACATGCCAAATAGTGCCGTCACATCTCTATCTCCTTCAGGTCAAGCTTATGTACGGCTTAGTTGACTTATAGTGCGCAACAACCATACAGGGGCAAACCAAATAAACAAATGCACGCACAAAAGAGAGGTGACAAAAGTTTAGAAACCTGTTGACTCAGTCGGACTACGGGGTCGCTGGTGATGGAAACAACAGTACTAGGCATAATTACTGTACGGCGACCAGACTGTTAAATTGACAACAAGACAATATGAATATTATTGTGAGCCAAAAACTGTGGGAAAAATTACTGAATATCTAGGTACGCCCAAAAATTCTTAATATTTAAGGACAGAAAGGAATTAAGCAAATAATAGTAACAAAAACAAAACCTTATTTGTTGGTGCACCCGGGACGAGATCAAACCAAAAGGTTGCGAACACACTCTCACTACCGCCCGAGCCGCCGGGGACATCTTTAACACGCCAAGTGACTGGACTCTGGCTACGGCATGCTAAATTGAAGAGATAGGGAACACAATAGGGCAACAATTACCGACAACAGTACGTCCAAACAGGGAAAATGAGGCGTGTGTTTACAACGGGGTGCTCCTGCGGACTTATTACCCCGAAATCCGGTATCGAAACAATAACTCTTTTCGCCTAGCCGGGGGCCACTCCTGGGCTGACCTGTGCAACCGCAGACAAAGTGCCTCTCCTGGTGCTTATGGAAATCGTTGCACTTTCAAACATATTTGTTTTTTTTGCTTTTTACACTCGCCTCTTTTCCTCTTTTAATGCCAGCAAGCTTCTGCCCCCGCGCACAGCTACGAGTTGGGCCGCCACAACGGCGCATATAAACATACACCATGGACTTTCCCATTACCACCAATCGGCGGACACAAAAGTGCCGCAATAAGGGTAAAAAAGTGTCGCCCCTTTTGTGTTTTTAACCGACTTCCAAAAAAGGGGGAGCTTATCAGTTCATCGGAATATTGTTTTTTTTTTTATGTATGTTAACGCATATCTTTGGACCACCACCAACCGAGTTAGATAATTCTTTTTGCATCGGAAAAGTAAAGTCTCAGAGGTGGTCCCATATTAATCAGGTTTAGATCCGATCACTGGATCATGAAATATATATATATATATTGTTTTTTTAAAGTCGGTTTTTTTTTCCTAAAAATTTTTAAAATATTAGGTATTCTCCAAATTTTGCAAAGCCATTGCACGTAGCAGGGATTGCATGGATTGCATAACTTGCAAACACACAACAACAAAATACATGGGAAATAACATTTCCTATTGCTGCAAAATATGCAACGTCGAAATCCATAGGGCTATTCGCGATCCGGTGCAAATGGCCTAGCATCATTGCATTGCAAATTTGTATTGCAAATTATTTGCAATACACAAANAAAACCAAAGCTGATGCACAAAAATTGTTTTGCAAAAGCTTTACCATGACAGTTTAATAAAGGTCGCTCACAATCCATGGCATATTTCTGCAATTGCATAAATTTGTCAGCTCTTATGCACCGAATCGCGAATAGCCCTCATGTATATATTTTGCAAAATAGCATAGCAAGATAAATGCGACCCTGTGCTACTTGTTTTGTTGTTGGAATTGCTCAATATTTCTCTGGTTCCTC